ACTCCCAAATGACAAAATAAATCCCCCCAACCCCTCAAGCTTTCAAATTTGGGCATATCTGGTATTTGCATTAAATTTGTTCCAGTGAATGAAAATACATTATGTGTATCAAATATTTACATTATGCTTCATAACAGTAGAAAAATTACAATTATGAAGTAGCAATTAAAATAATTTTATGGTTGAGGGTCACCACAACATGAGGAACTGTATTAAGAGGTCACGGCATTAGGAAGGTTGGGAACCACTGCCCTAAAGGGTCAATATTAGGGAAATACAAAAATCTCAGAACTATTTCAGGTTGAGGGATGGATCAATTTTTCAATGCAACTCTTACCCACATTCAGTTTTTAACACCAACAACTTGAGTTAATTTTTGTCTTTGCAGTTTTCTTCAATGTCCAGTTTTTCAACCACAAGTAGAAATAAGAAAGGTTCTGACATGGGCGATTCTGACTTTGTTATTTAATCTTATCGAGTTCTTTGGTAACAGCTCATCCAAGTCCTAGGAATTTATCCCATGCGTGTGGGAGTGGGGTGGGATGGGGGAAAGCATCATATTCCCATGGCGTTTAGTCCTGTAGTATTACATAGTTATGTTAGTCATTCCTTATCACATGTTGTTTGAAGTTGCCCGTTTCACCAGTATTATCAGTTTTCATCCTTATCCCACGAGCGAAAAGATTCCCCCTTTAAAAAAGGTGTCTAACTTCAACATTTGGAAGAACTGAACTCTTGCAGTTTCTTGAGATTTGTGTACTCCGAGACCTCAGAACACCAAATCTCGTACATCGAAGGCAATGTGTTTTTGATCTTTCAGTCTCCAATCTGTAATAATAAAGACCTAAATTTCTAGAAAATGCAGATAATAGGTATTAATTTGGATATAAAGCCATAATTCTATCAACCCTTTCTGGCGGGATCGATCTCAACTTTTTAAAAGGATAAAAAAAGCAGAAAACCCAGTTATTTTGAAAGCTAACATTAAATAATAATAATAATAATTTATACCCTGCTTTATCTCCCCAAGGGGATTCAAGGCAAAACAATCCCTAAAGTAGCGCTATTTCTTATTTTTATTTTTATTTTTAAAAATTACCATGCAAGGATTGTGTAGCTGCATTATGGCAGAGTAGCAAGACCTCACTGCTTGGCAGAAGACCACCCAGAGGACAACCCATTTGCCCACTTCCTCAATTCAATTCAACGTGAGCAATTCTGACAGTTCCCATCCCACATGTTTTTAGATATTTTCTCCAGTTATATCCTGGTTCCTCAGTCCAGAAAATGATCGCTGACCTGCTTACATTTTTGAACTCTTTCAGACATTTTCCTAACAAAGCATGACAGGTGCTAATTGGAACTCCCCTTGCGTTGTGGGAAGGGCTCTGTCACACATATTTTCTTCAATGGATTCTAAGTGTTTAGAAACAGGAGTTTGTGTGTGTGTGGAGGGGCAGCCTGGGATAAAGTTAGTAGTTTTCTCCTGATGTCTTATTCAGACTATAGATTATACATCAGGACAATCAGAAGTTACAGCACACACTATAAGTATGTGTGTATTACAGTGAACTATTATTTTAATGATCTACACAATTAAAGGCTTTGTCACAATCTGTAAAGCATGTTGATTTTCTCTTGAAGTTCTTTGGTATGCTCCATTGGTGAACATATGTTTGCAATATAATATCCTTTCCTGAACCCAGCTAGAATTTCTTGCTCCATATATGGTAAAGATCTTGGTTGAAAATAAGAAAGAAAAGAAAAGAACATTATTTTGTTTCCATGGAAGGTTAATGCAGTGGGTCAGTGATTATGGCAATCCCTGCAATCCATGGGATCTGAATGTATACTGAGTGTTTCCAGTCTATATATTATATTGCTTTGTTTTCCGTATATGTTTGCAAATTGTTGATAGAATTTGGATGGGCATTCTTTCTTTAGTGCACATTGTTATGTCATCTGTTTCTGGTAATTAATTTTCTCCCAGTGCTTTGAGAGCAGCTTCCAATTTACTTTCTAAAATTATGGAGATTTGTCAAAACTTTTTTTCTTTAAAAGTTTCTTCAAAGAAATTTTGTAGCATCTTCAGGATGATCTGGGAGAAAGACGTACCCTAAGCTTTTGTAGACTCAGTATACCTCATGAGATACAGTCTGAATCTATGAGTCTATGATACTTATGCTACAAATTTCTTTCTCCTATGAAGCATATCCACTGTAGAATTAATGGAATTGACACCACTTTAACTGCCATGACTCAATGCTATGGATCTGTACTTTGGTGAGGACCAGCACAATTTGGCTGAGGCAGCTAAAGTCCTTATAAAACTATAACTCCATGGCTTTTAGACATGGAAGTTAAAATGTTGTTGAACTCCATTCATTCTACTCCAGGATTCCTTTAGTATGTTGATATGGACCAGCATTAATATGTCTTTGAGTTCTATTTGAAAGATTCCACAATCCTTTATTTTTTGTTATATTGTTCTTCAAAGATGGCTTTTAAAAAAAAAAAAAAAATTGAATGTTGGGCTTATAGCTCCCCATTCTTGGTTTAAATTTCACTTTAATTTCTCACATCTTGGGGAAGAGGTATCCCTTGATGTATTTTTGGTTGTTTTCTGGTCTTTGCATTGCTTATTATAATGGTCCACCATGTCCCTATCCTGATGCTTAACCGTTATATTCAGCACTGTTATTTCTGCTATTGTTTACTTTTGCTTCTCATCTGTCCTTACATACTTGTCCTTAACTTGACTACAGATAGATTCTTTTTGTGTTCCTTCATGATAATGTCCCTGGATTCTATCCAGAGTTGTTTTGGTTTCTGCTCAGTTCAACTTAGGTCACATCCAGATTGACTGAAAAGTCCCAGATTGTGTTCCTATTTCTTGCCATTTCCATACTGTGTTAAAATAAACCAACTTGGAAATCTGGTATAAAATGTTTCTGATTGTACTGGGAGCTGACAAAAATATGGTAGAATAAACAAAATTTGCATGGAATTTTAAAATTAAATTGAAAAGGAGGAAAATCTGGGACTTTCTGGTATTTTCAGCCTTATCCTTTATCCTTAATATTATGATAGTACTGTAGTAAGATTACTTTTTAATACTAATGCTCGAATCATAGAATCACTGTATGTAGAGATAGCAGGAAGGCATCCCATGGGTCACCTTGTGAAGTCTTGGCTCTGCTTTTTTCCTCTTCTCTGCTTTAGTACCCCCTGTTCATAGGTTTTCCGAATAGTTCAGATACCTTCCTTTGTATTATAGTTTTTGGGTGAAGCATAAAGAAACTCCTAGAGGCCAGCGTTACTTGGTCTATTCCATTTGTCTGTATAGAGCTCTCTTGCTAGACTCCTCCCTCCCTTCTTGCAGCAGAGCTACAGAGAATAGAAACTTGGGAATTGTCTGGTAATCCTAGGCCTAAGAAATTAAAAAATTGGCATCCTTAGCACCTGCATTCAGCAGTATCCATATGCCACCAGTCCAAAGGACAACAGAAGCTTTTGGCCAGCTTAAGCTTCACAAGAAAGAAGATTAAGACAGTTTATAACCATTGCTTTGCACCAGAGGCAAGAGACTTTCTAAGAGTCCAGAGAGATGACTACAACCAGCAAAATCTCCTTTTATAATGTATTGTTTTAAGTTACCTTATGATTGTTCCGGGTGGAGTTAACCCTTTATTCATCTTGTTTGCAGTAAACTCATTTGGTTATCTTTTCACCTTTCCTAAAGTGCCTCTGTCTGCTAAGGGTCTTAATCTTAACAGAAGATATATAGATAGCCCCTGAGTATAGTTAGACACTATAGTTTTCCCAAAGGCTTGGTTGTGTCATCACACACCTAATCCAACCTCCTGCCAAATTAAAGCATCCCCATAGAATCATAGAATTGTTTATAGCAAAATGCAACCTAAGAACATTATAAAATGTTTAAAATTAATAAACTATTCAAAACAACACCAACATGAATACATAGCCATTAAAGGCTGGGGAAAGGCTGTGTTCAAAAGCATCATTTTTAAAAATGAGCAAAGTCAAAATGACAGCAACAAAAAAAAATACATTCACTCATTCTTATCCAATATGTTAAGTGAGTTGTTGCTGGTCATAACTGGTCATGTCATAATTTGTCATATCTAAAACAAAGTTACTTTGGGAGCTCCACCCCTCCCTGAATTTCCAGCCAGCATTGTTACAAGTTGGAGGGGCTTCTCTTTCTCTCAAAAGTGAGAGTGATAGCTGCTGTGAGAGCATGGGAGAAATTATTATCTGTTGTTTGGGAAAAGCCCTTCCTTTACAGGCCTGCGACGATGACTGGCACTAGTTTCCTTTTGCTGCCAGGTTAAAGTATGCTATTACAGCTTTTGGAGCTTTAATTGTCCAGTTTGAACCTATACACCAGGAGAGGGGGAAATGCAGCCCATAGATCATGTGCCTACATCCAGGGTATTTTTGGTGCCTTAAGAGTCCTTCAACAGGGTCATTTTTTGGTTTTTGGGTTTTTTTTAATTACCCACAATTGTCAAATGCACTTGTGAGGGTGTTGGGGGCATTTTCACATTGGCTATGCTAACAAATTGGGGGGGGGGGGAGGAATATTTAAGAAAAGTAACTTCTCCAGGCTCTGCATATACCTCTCAAGACAATTATAAAGTTATTTTGGCAGACACTACTCTCTGAAAAGCCCCTGAAAAAAAAGCACTGCTTGTGCATAGCCATGAAAGGGGTTTTCATGAGATCCTTTTTGCCCTTCCCTGTACTATCTGGCAAAGTTTATTTAACTCTTGGCAGGACTGCTTCACACACAAAACGTATACAGACAGCACAAAAAAACTTACAGCACAAATCACGTAATTTATCATTGAAGTGTGAGTGCCTGAGTAGTGCTTATGTCCAAACACTCAAGCACTGATCTGTGTGTTTAGGAAAGAGTTAGTCAACTCATCCAGACTTTTGATTTCCCCCCCTTCTTGTCACTAAAGTGTCAGGAATTCAACCAGTTAAACTGCAGACCTTCGAGTTCATGCACTGACTCTAGGATGAAAGTAATGTAAACTCTCAAGTCACGTGATGAATGAAACATTTCTCCAGCAGCTATTAATTCTGGAAGCAACCCATGAAACTTTCAGAACTCAGGAACCGAGTAGATTCGTTGTCTCCTCAGAGCTTTGGGAAGCTTGGAATTATTTGCAGTCTCACGTAAGTTGTTCAAAGTCTCTTTCTTCTTTGCTTCACTGCTCTGGATATATTAACTTTTATATTATTTTGCACCATAGAGCACCGATAAGATATACAAAGTCAGAGAGCATTGATTCAATAAGCATGTCTGGTAGCAAACCTTAGAATCTTCTGCCTCTAACATTTATATATTTCATGTATATCAGAATTGTTTTTGTATGTGAGTGTGCCATCAAATCGCCTGCCAACTAAGCCAACCCCATGGATTTTATAGGGTTTTCTTAGGCAAAGAACATCCTTTCTTAATTTGTGATTATGAACATTCTTAGTGCCTAATCTTTAGAAAAAAATTGAAACATATTAGAAAGTCTAGCCAGTTTGTAAAATGATCTGCAAACAAATGGAAATTTTGTGTAGAGTTGTGCAATTATCATCATCTTCATTCTCATCATATTAACCATTTGGATAGGGCATCTTGGCTGTTCATAGCCTTAATTTCAATAATTTGTGCAAGAACCTGGAAGACTTCAACACAAGCATTATCGTTTCCATATTACAAAAGGGAAATTGAGTCTTGGAGACATTGCTTACCTAGGGTTAGGAATGCAGGGTGTTACCTTACTCAAGCATCCATCAACCTAACCTAGAACTGTTAGCAATGACTGGCAATGACTCTCAATGCAATGCTAGGGACTGAACCAAGGACCTTCTGTATGGAAAGTCTGTATTCTATCACTGAATTATGTCTTGTTCTTATTCTGTGCCTCCAATTTGATTCTGAATTACTGCAACCCCAAGGGTTTTCTGTGCAAGATTTATTTAGAAGGTATTTGCCCATGTCCTCTGAGGCTGAGAATGTGATTTGCTCAAGGGCACCCAATGGGTTTCCATGGCTGAGCTGAGTTCTGGACTTTGGTTCCAGAGTCATAGTCCAACACCCAAACTATTACACCATGCTTGCTATGTCTGCACAAGGAGTATTTCATAGAATCATAGACTTGGAAGAGACCACAAGGGCTATCCAGTCCAACTCTTCTTAGTAAGATATGGTAAGATATCCTATGGTATTGCTCACAGAAATATTGTGCTGCAAGAAATGGACATGTCATTAAAAGTTGGACCTTAGATCAGTAGTAAAGCAGAGGCTTTGCGTGTGCAAATTCCAATTATTGTTATTTCCAGTGAGGAAGGATCACATAGTGGGTGAATGGGGAAGATCTCTGCTTGACAGTTTGACAAGCAGGCAGTATTGGATGAATGAAACTTGTTTGGAGATTTTTAAAAAGAAGCTGGAAGTACTTCAGTTGTGTATTCCTATATGGCAGGGAGTTGGATTAGATGGCCCTTGCAGACTCTTCCAGCTCTGTGATTTTATGAAATAGCTTGACCTAATATAGTGCTGCTCCCTATGTTCAGAGATTAATCTTCAGGAAAGCTACTTTAAATATTCCAACCTCAGTATGATTCTTTATTTTGTCAAGAAAAAAAAAGATTGTTCATTTACAACTCTCTAGAATTGATCTTTAGTTTTTCAGCATTTAATACCTATCCCTGTTTCTCTTCCAGGTTCCGACTTTCCCCAAAGTGCTTTGATGTTCACAATGGAACATCAAAATATGACCCTGCCTGTGGTGGTGGCTGCTGCTAGCTCTGGTCCTGCTGCTTCTACTCTTGAGAAAGGAGGAGGGAATGGAAATGAATACTTTTACATCTTGATTGTCATGTCCTTCTATGGAATCTTTCTAATGGGAATCATGCTGGGATACATGAAAAGCAAGAGAAAGGAAAAGAAGTCCAACTTGATGCTGCTCTATAAAGATGAGGAGAGGGAGTGGGGACAAGCAGTCAAGCCTCTGCCAACCATCTCAGGACTGAGATCTGTCCAGATTCCCATGATGTTAAGCATGCTGCAAGAGAGTATGGCACCGGCTCTTTCTTGCACCCTCTGTTCCATGGAAGGCAGCAGCGTGAGTGAGTCTTCCTTGACAGATGTTAACCTCACAATTGAAGAGGAAGTACCTGGTGCTGAACTGGGGGAAACGGCTGAAATTGCTCTCCTAAATGACAGCAGTGAAGGCTCTTCAGAGAGCATCCATCAGAATTCCTAGCAGCTTCTTTCCTCAAATGAAAGACTAACAATTCCCAATTTTACATCCTGCCTTGAACCATATACTTTTCAAATGGGAAAGGGTAATCATTATGTTGTAAGAAGCAGAGGAGCTGAAGTAGCAATGACTAATGTGTAATAGAATGTCTCTTTTGTTATGTCAGAAGGAAAATTTCTTCCCTGGCAAATCTCTTAATGTAGCCTCTGCTTCCTTCACAATATAGGAAAACCTTGGGAAGCAGACTGATTTGTAAATGACTTATGTTTTGACAGCTAGCCTTGTGGATTTTTGCTGCTGATTTTTTTCAACAATCTTTTGGGTATACTAAGGGATACTTTTGGGTATACTAAGAATGCAATGCAAAGTAAGATCTTTGCTTCAATCTGTTGCTGAAGGAGCACACTTGAACAAAATCTCGACACTCCAAATCAGCAGAGTTATGTAGGAATCAGGAGTCTTGTGTGGGTATATCTGAGCAAGAACAGATTTTGGGGATAAATTTTATGTGAATGCCAATGAAATAAATAAATTATGCCAATGGAAATTGTGATTGCATTTACACAACCATAGATTTATGTCAACAGAGCCTGTGATCACAGTTCATAGGGCTACTTAATCTCACTTTCTTTTAATGACAATGGTGAAAGCAACTCAATACAATGGAATGAAAGTGAGGCTCCCATGCCTCATTAACTTTGTGATGTATCCATTTCAGTTTGAAAAATTGCCTTAATGTAAGAAGGAGGATGGCTCCTTTAACAATTTATACCACTCATAAATTAGAAAACTCAAACCATAGCTGAAGTTCCTAAAAAGATGGTGTCAAAGTATGCTGTATTGCTGGTTTCCCTCTTCTGCTCAGCACTTCAGCTTCTGCGTTTTGGGGAAGTCTGGATATGGTGCATGAACTGAAGCTGCGAAATTCAGACATTGTACAAAATTACAGATGGATAACCTGTCTCACTCCAGATTTCAGACATCCAGTATAACTAGTATAACCAGTCCAACCATAGCTGAAGGTTGATATATTCACCAAACCTGCATTAAACTATGATTAGCAAAATGAAGCATTTGCAAACACACTTCAAGCCAAGATTATTAAAATGCTGGTTTCATAGCTGGCTATAAACCAATGTTTTGTGAGTTTAGGGACTTCATCACATTGAAGCAGGGAAGTATTTGGCAGAGTAAAACTCCGTTTTGATGATTTCCCTATCTTCATCACACTGTTAAATCGATCACTGTTACTCAGTTGTATTCAGCATTCTTTGAGTCTCATGCCAGCTTATGGTTACTTTTGACCATTGTTTCGCAAAATATTGCAACTGAACTATGTGTCAATTGTGTTACAAAAATAGGCAAATTTTAATGAAGGTTATAACATTGAACTTCCAGTGCTATGATTATTTTAATCAGGCATTGCATTTCACAATGACATCAATATGTTGACTGGTTTTGACAACAGAAAAGTTGCCAAAATGCCTGTCTGACTGAGTTAAACAACTTAGAAACATGCTTATTGTCATGGGAAAGAAGTTTGGGAAAACAGCATGAAAAGGAGACAGGGAGAAAATCAGGTCAAAGCTCCCTTTCCAATTCCAGCTCCAAATTCATTATAGTAGGGTTGGTCTAATGTCATGGATCAAAAAGAATGGTCATTTCATCTTTCTGATGTCATAGGAGATAGCTTTGTTTTGTTTATAGGAAGCTTCATTACTCATTGACAAGTAGCTGCAAATCTCATTAAAGGCAATGGGAATATTTTTATGGAGTCTGCTAAACAACCCATGAGCACAAAACTTAGGTTATTTTATTCCAAGAGGAGCTGTTAAAACTTTTCAAAGAAGCCAAGTTAACTTTTGGCATTTTGCCTGGAATCACTTGAAAACTGAAACTTTCCAACTCAGACTATTGTTGGAGTTGTCACGTTTTATTCCTTGCTGAATCCTCATGCCTTTTCACACATATCTTTTTGTGACTTTCCCTCTCCCTTCTTTGTTGTTTTGAAAGACAAATTTGTATATACTTTGATACCAGATTGTATATATTTGTCTTACATATTTATGTTTAATTGGTTCTTTCTGGTAACACTTTTTATTTAAATAAAGGAATCACTTTGTGTGTATTTTCTGTGTGGCTTTTTATTATTCCAAATAATTCTCTATGATTCTCAGACTCAAATCTTACTAGTACCATTAGTTTTATCTTTTTCATGATCACTTCTTTCAAATGTAATCCACTGTTCCCCCAACAGCAATGTGGGAAAAGATAGTTTAAAGCTGCATTTCTCAACCTGGGAGTCAGGACCCCTAGGGGGTCATGAGAGGAGTGTCAGAGGGGTCACCAAAGACCATAAGAAAACATAGTATTTTCTGTTGGTCATAGGGGTTCTTTGTGAGAAATCTGCCCCAATTTCATCATTGGTGGGGTTTGAAATGCTCTTTGATTGTAGGTGAACTATAAATCCCAGCAATTACAACTCCTAAATGACAAAATCAACTACAGCAATTACAACTTCCAAATGTCAAGATCTATTTCCCCAAAACTCTACCAGTGTTCACATTTGGGCATATTTAATATTTGTGCCAAGTTCCATCATAGTTTGAATCCATAGTGCTCTCTGAATGTAAGTGAACTACAACTCCAAAACTCAAGGTCAATGCCCACCAAACCCTTCCAGTATTTTCTCTTGGTCATGGGAGTTCTATGTGAAAGATTGGTTCAGTTCCATCATTGGTGGTGTTCAGAATGCTCTTTGATTGTGGGTGAACTATGAATCCCAGCAATTTTAACTCCCAAATGACAAAATCAACCCCCCTTCCAAGCCACAACAGCATTCAAATTTGGGCATATAGGGTATTTGTGCCAAATTTGGTCCTGTGAATGAAAATATATCCTGAATATCTGATATTTACATTACAATTCATAACAGTAGCAAAAATACAGTTATAAAATAGCAACGAAAATAATTTTACGGTTGGGGGTCACCACATGAGGAAATATATTTAGGGGGTCGTGGCATTAGGGGTTGCAGCATTAGGAAGGTTGAGAAACACTGGTTTAAAGAATACCAGTGAATGCAATTGAAGCATTTGGATCACTTAAAAACTCAAGGCCCTTCCACACAGCCATATAACCCAGAATATTAATGCAGAAAATCCCACAATATCTTCTTCGAACTGGATTTTCAGAGTCCACACTGCCATATATTCCAGTTCAAAGCAGAAAATGTGGGATTTTATTCAGCTGTGTAGAAGGGGCCTTAGTGGTGCAGTTGTTAATTCCAACCAAAAATGATCCAATAGAATGTGTATAAGCAATGAATTATTGATTCCTCATTGATCTGAAGTAGGCATATGGAAAGTGAAGCCTGTGAACCACAAATGGGAACAAGTGCCCCCAAACTTTGCCAGTATCCTGAAGTGCATTTTTTTTAAAAAAATACTGTCAACTGAAAACACTTTCCTCCTATAAACCTCAGTAAAAGACAAGAAAAATCCCTCAAATAACCTGCTATACGCCTAGAACCTCCCACCAAATATTTTCTTTTTGACCAGGTAGTAGCCACAGTGACTACATGCTGCCACTCCCTGCTGCCATTTTGGCCATAAAAAGAATTTGGGGATGCAGATGGGTGGGTATTATGGCCAATGGGGATATGGGGATAGGTGTAGCCTCCAATTCTATATAGTTGTCTAACCCTGATGTAATAGGTCTACTCCAGATGGAACTAACACTTGGAATCATGATCATACAAAGTAGTTTGCATCTTAGATTATTGATGTTAAAAGGCTAAACTTCCAATGAAAAATTTTTCAGCAAGCAAACCACTGAATCTATTTTCATTGGTTACAGAAACCCAACAACACAACCATGGTAAATAAATGTATGTGGGGGTTCCGTTGAACTCCCATACATTCTGGCCATATGACCAAGACCTTGAACAAGGCAGAGACTGGCCTGACTTCTCTGCTCCAGGGCTGACTCACTCTAATTGCATTCTAATGTTTCTGTTGTCTCAAAAAGCTTATCTGATACCTTTGTTTATTTAATAATACTCATATCCTGATTCCCCCATTAAAGCAACACTGAAAGAAAATTACAGTAGAAGCGGCAGAATTTAATAACACACAACAAAATTATATATTCATTAAGATAACACAGGGAAGCAATACCAACACATTAGTAAGGACATTAAGGAACAGCTTATAACTAAAATCTAGTATGATTTTTTTTAACAAAAACTTTCCCCATGAAAGATACAAAGGGGGGGACCCTGGTGAAGTTCCAAGTGAGAGTCCACCATGACAATCAAATCAGAAGAGTTGTGATAGCAGGATAAAACATCTTCCACTGCCACTCAAATTATGAACCCACAGGGCCATCAAGCATGCCTTGACACTTGTCCCTGCCCTAATGGTATAAAACAGAGGTTCTCAACCTGTGAGTCCCAAGATGTTTTGGTCTTCAACTCCCAGAAATCGTAACAGCTGGTAAACTGGCTGGGATTTCTGGGAGTTGTAGGCCAAAACACCTGGGGACCCACAGGTTGAGAACCACTGGAATAAAATTTTGCCAAAAAGAGAGAGATAAAAAACAGATCAGGGCTTCCAAAGCTGGTCTTCATAGTTAGTGCAGGCTCATAAGGGAGTCTGCTATTTGATGAGACACATAGGACTTTACTTCATGGGGCAGGCAAACCAGCATCATAGCTAGAAAACTACCTTTGTTCATGATCTCTGTTACACAATGCTGTGCACATATCTCTGCCAGCACGCCTCTTTCCAATGGTCCCTTGCAATCCTGTAACATTCTCATCAGCTACCTTAGTGTGATGGGTTCATTCTTCTTCTGTGTTGGCAGAGGGAGGATTATCTTCCTTTCCTCCTTCCCCCTCATTGCTCCAAAGCCGTCAATTTCTCATTTATTTTATATTTTCTACTTATATTTGCCTTTTGTATTTTTTCAAAGCTGAAATTGTGAAATTGCTCTAAAATTAAAATTAGAAAAACATGGAACAATGGAAGTGCAAGGAAGCTGGTATGCACAAATATAATAGCAGGACTACAAATCTGTGCAACTGTGCAATTGAAGAGAGTTGTAATATCAAGGATTCATAACATAGTATATCTTCTTTCAATGATAGTACACCTGTAAGGAATATCAGGTTCATGTAGGAAAGTCCTTAGAATTCTTTACTAGAGAACTGTCATCCACCTTCCTGAACTACCACAATAGAGTAGCGGAGTATCTAAAATACAATGGGCCCAAGTATCCACTGAGTTTTGATTGCAAGACCCCTCGTGGATACCAGAATCCTTGGATGTTCAAGTTCCCTTAAATACAATGATGATGTAAAATTATGTATCTTATATAAAATGGCGGTTTGCTTTAAAAATCTTTTTCAAGCCATTGATAGTTAAATTAATGGATATACAGTATCTGTATATATGGAGGGCCAAGGCCATCAACTACAAATTCCAGGATTCCATGGGATGGAACCATGACAGTTCAAGTGGGATGAAGATACTATAAACATGAATTAGAGACTTCAGTTAGAAGACTCAGTCAAAAAGAACACATTCAGACAAAGGCTGCTCCCTGTAAAATGGGATATATATATCCACCTATGGACATCCACTCCAGTGGGCCAGCTCGGACGGAATGGCTGAGCTGGGGGTGAGAGCCCACATGCTCAGGGGCTATGGAGTGGGGGCTACTGGCGGTCCTCGGAGGCTTGAGGAAAGGTGGAGAGATGGGGGCCATTTCCAGTTCATCTGGCTCTCCGTCCTTGGGAAACTATGCCTTCCTTTGGCGGGGGAGTTGGAGTTAGACACTTTCTGGTAAGATGAAAGAGAAGTAAACAGCAAGCAAACACAGAGCATTTTACAGGTTGGAGGAAAACATGGATGCAACTTGTGGAAGTATGCCAGTAGGGCAGGTATGGGCAAACCCAGGCCCGCCCCCCCCCCCCACCGGGCTCTTTTCTCAGACCCTCCTCTCTCTCACTAGCCTATCCTTCCTTCTCTCTCTTTTTCCTTCTTCCCTCCTCTCTTACCTTCCTCTTTCTCCCTTTCTCCCTCCTTTTCATTTATTCTTTCGTCCTTCCCTTCTTCCTTCCCTCTTTCCTCCCTCCTTCCCTCTCTCTCATTCTCCTTCCTTCCTTCCTTCTACCCTTCCTTTCTTCCTTCCTTCCTTCCTTCCTTCCTTTCTTCCTTCCACCCTTCCTTCCACCCTTCCTTTTTGTCTTTCCTCCATCACTTTTCTACCGCCCTACATTCCCTTCCATCCTTCCTTCCATCCTTCTCTTCCTCCCTTTTTCCTTCGTCCTTTCCTCCTGGGAGATGTTTAGCTGTGAGAAGAGAAGGTAGAGAGGGAACACGAGAACAAAGTTTCATGATTTAAAAGAATATCCCATTGAGGAGGAGGAGAAAAACTGACTTTCTGCTGTTCTAGAGACCAGGGTACAGGAGAACAATGGGTTCAAATGGCAGGGAGAGATTCAACTGAAAAGATTAGGAAGAACTTCCTGAGAGTAAGAGCTGTTGCAGAGTGGCATAGGCTGCCTGGGAGTGTGGTGGAGTCTTCTTCTCAGAGGCTTGTGCCTTCTTGCATGACAGGTGGTTGGACTGGATGGCCCTTGGAAGCTCTAGGATTCTAACATTCTATATCAGGAGTAGGCAATATGGGGTCTAATGAATACACCTTTTCTCTCCCATCCATCATCTCATCCTGACCAAGGTTAATCTTTTGGGGATCCAAATGTTTCCCATCTTTCCTTCACTTTCTGCCTCCAAAAGAGAAGAGGAGGGGGAGGAAAGGGCAGGGAGGGGACTTGGGGAGAACCCCCTCCCTCCCGGCCCACTCACCCCACTCCAGCATGCCATGCAGCCCCCAAGTTAAGAAGCTTGCCCATGCCTGCAATAGGGGATACCAAGGAGGCAGGAAATGAAGTTTGCAGAAAACAGTGAGAAATGCAATTGTCTCTAACCCCCTTGGCAGGCAGTACTGAAGATAGGAGAATTATAGATGCAACACTGTACTAATGGTTTTGATACTTTGCAAAAGAGAAGTGTGATAAACAAAGAAAAAAACTATTGTGGGAAGAACTGTTATATAATAACA